AAGAACGGGCTGAGGTCGAACTAGCCCAGTGCGATGGAGCGGGTCAGACGGTGGGGTTGGGTTAAATTCTGGGCGGACATAGAGACATTGTGTCTTGAAGATGCACTGTTCGTATCGAAATCGCGAGGGATGCCATCAAGGAGGCCCGGGAGAGTCTCTGCGGAGCTCGTTGATCTGGGCGTGGTGGTGGGGCAGTGGCGCCGAAGGCGAGAGAATGGCCAACAGTGGAGTGGCGTTCGGGTCTGCTAGTTCCACTAGCGAGGTGAAAATGCGGATTTTTGCTCAACAAATTCCTTGATCTCAAACGAGCTCGTCGACCCTATTGCCTTTTGCACTGCTCACACACCCATTTGCTACTGCCATTGCGACGTTCCGAGTCAAAGCATTCCTAAAATGAAGGTACGCCCGGCTTTCACCGTCATATCTTGTTCACTTGACTGAGATCTTTCGGATAAAGACCACAGCCTTTCATGGCAATCTCTACTCGGCGCTTCCGCAACACTTGAGCTCATGGTATCAACACACTGCCGTACAATTCCAGCTTTCTGCACCCCATGATCTGGCCCAACTGCGCGAACATCATCACCCATCAACAACCTCACTCCTCACCTTAGTGTACGATACCCGCGGGAAGCCTTGCGACTATTCCCACTCGAAGTGGTTCTGTTTCGGCAGCTTGGCGCGCTTCACAAAGTGTGGGGTTGGGAGTTGATGTCTATCGGGCGAGAGGTGAGGACAAGAAGAAATGCTGGTGCGATATACTGTTGACGCGGTTGCAGGAATTCCCGGACGTCTATCTCCTTGAAAGTTTGGTAATGACGATCTGCGAGTGGCATCCACTGATCAAAGCCAACGCTGCTCATGTCATGTACCAGAAACTGTTCCTTTACACTATATCGTTAATCTTTGTATGTATCCTAGCCCAACCGCAAATTTGATGAAACACTTTTGTTTGCGTATCCCCCGGAATGGAAAACAGGTGGATACTTGTTTTTTCAAGGTGGGTAACATTTAAGGACGGCCATCGCTTTTTCTCAAACTGATCTTCTCGTCCCCGTCAGTTTCCTACGTAGGACATTGTTACATTGATGAGCTCAGACATCACAAGCGTATTTTCAAATCTCCAGGTATTCGAGTCAAGGACCAGGGAACGTTTCAACAAGTCTTCCGGCCTCATCACACCCACCTGAGCTACCTTTCCACAAACTTCTTCAGTCTTATTAGGAAGAACAATTGCTCACTTACAAGGTTAGGCGCCTCTGGTTGTGTAGGTAATGCTCTATCTGTATACGTCGGTTCAATGGTCTAGTGGTTATGATTTCTGTCTCACATCAAGAAGTGAACGCGTCGTGCACAGAAGG